TCAAGCTCCTTGTGAAGGGTACACAAACGCATTTCAAATACATCTGAAAGTCAACCTTAAAGGTCGTTTAAGGTCTCACAACAAGGTTCTTTCTGGAATCACTCAAGGAGGTTTGAAAGCCACATATGTCAAGGTCAAGCGAACTGCGCATGTGGAGGAGCCCAATCGGCTAATATCTCCTACTCACCCTGTATAATTAATAAATAAAATTATAGTGTTTGCATATCGATCTTATGATGTTTTAACTAAATTTTGGAATTTAGAAAATAGGGAGGCAAATTTACACAATGATCTCATACAGTTCTTACCAAATAAACTTTTAGTCACGTGATTAAGCTTCCCGGCACAGCGTTGGCACACACTTTTATATATTCTCTTTTAATCAAAATATTTTATGAAACAATGATAAATGAATTATAAATACCGTATGATCGAATAAAAACGGCGTCAGCGATGGCTATGAAATGAAGATCGCTGTCACTTTATATGTAAAATTATATGGAAAATGTCATCGATCGTCATTTCTAAGCCAACTGGGCGCCATTTTTTTTCGATCATACGGTATATAAACAGTTATTATTTACATCAACAAAACTCACTATCTTAACAGCACTTCGTAGTAGAATTATCTTTGCTACGGGGTATCCGTGAGAGGGGAAACGATATTGCGGTGACGTACTCGTTAAGTCGACGTATAAAATAAATTGCTGTTTATTTAAATATTTTTTGTCCGCATTCCTTTCATAGACACAGATCCAGCAGACGTACTGTAAAGGTCCATTACTACGGCTTTTCCGTTGAAAATATTTTAATAAGGTTGCGATAAGTTGTTTATAACCAAACCAAACCAACTAAGCTATCTTGTACACTTCGCACTAAAAGAGGTTCTAAAAAGAACAATGTTCGATGCAAGATCTGCTAGTAAATATTTTTAAGCTTAAAATATCACAATACTATTTATTTATACCAAAAACCTGAAATACAAAACTAAACTAAAGTGTCAAAACGAATGACAATGTCAGGAAATAAATAAATAAATGTGGCAACTTGACATTTTTTACAACACAACCATGGTACAAAGAAAACAAGGTATGATATTGCGCAGGTTGGTCGCTACGTCACAGGTGATAACAGGCGCTATTGGTCAGCACGCTCCGCGCGCCAATTCAAATCGCCGAGATATTTTAATGAACCTGTTTTTTTGTTTATTGAAACGTCATTGAACTATCGCTAAGCAAGTTACTTTGGAGCAGTGGGTGAAGAGTCAGGATAGGGAGCGAGAGACCGGTGTTCGAATCATTCGAATCTCGGCCGGGTCATAACTTTTTATTAAATTTTTTAAATACTGTTATATTCTATAGTTAATTTTTTTAGTATAAAAAAAAGAACTATTTATTCTGTTATTTTTTAATCTCCGGTATTAATATAAATTGATTGTTGGTACAATACCTCATTTAATATAAAAGAATATTCTACTTTTTGAAATGTATCGGGTCCTAATTGTACCTAAAAGTAATATATTTTTACAGTGATATACCATATTGTAAACTATTTAATATTTCAGTCACTTAAAAAGTTAATTTGTATTGAATAATTTCCTACCATTAAAGGAAATTTGAGCAATAATCCTTGATGGGCATATTCTGGGTATGCAAGTACTTCCTCTACATTTTGGGTTGCGTTCAACCGATTTATTCTCAAAACCTGAAACATCTACATATAAAAAAAGCACAGGTTACTAATTATAATAAACTTCACCCTTGGAATTACTTCCACTAATTATAATAAATTTCACCCTTGGAATTACTTCTATTACAATTACAATACATTCATTTGCATTGGCATTTTCTATTTTTCGATGGGAAACAATCAACTTACCAACATTTTTTAAATGATGTAACAATTCCTCTTGTGGTTACTTTTCTATAGATATCCTCATCTCTGTCCCCATAAACATCGCAAACTAAAAACCTAATAAACAATTTTATACCGAATATCGAAATAAATTTAGTATTCTTACCTATTATCACAGAATATCTAGCTACGGAACAGAAGCCTCGTTATATGTAAAAAATCGTAGGTCTCAAAAGGAGACAGGCTTTTAAAGCCTGTCTCCAAATCAGATATTTTGATGCGGTAGTTTCACTACTACATAACAGAGGGCGATAAATTTAAAAGAAAACAGTTTTCTACAAACGAAATTTAAAAGAATTTTATGCAGTGTTGCCATTGTGTAATTTATATTGTAATACCTCCTGATAAAACCTACGTTCAAATTTGCTACATCATTTAAACATATTAAAATAGATTAAAGCTCTTTTTTCAAACGTTTAAGTATTTAACTTGCCCTGTTAGTTGGAGTTAAATCTTACGAGCTGAATTAAAATCACTTCCTGACGTTTGATTCTAACTGAATCCTAAATTTTGATTGTAATTCGGCGACAATATAATAAGTATTGTTCTACTATTATGACACCTCTTACTGACGTTCGATTGTGTTCATACCGTATGATCGGGAAAAAAACGGCGTTAGCGATGGCTATGAAATGAAAATCGCTGTCATTTTATGTGTAAATTTATATGGGAAATGTCATCGATCGTCTTTTCCCAGCCAACTGGACTCCGTTTTTTTCGGTATCATACGGCATTTGATATATACTTGCGTATTTTTCATGACATTGCAATATTATGGTACCATGAAGCATATCAAGTGATACCGTAATATAGTACCATATTACGATACATGGCGTTCGATTTGGCTTAAACTTGGTATATTTATATTACGTATCTTCAGTGACATTGTAATATTATGGTACCATGAAGCATATCAAGAGGTACCATAATAGTACCATATACGATACCATTTCCTGGCGTGCGATTGGACTTATACCTGGTATAGTAAGTATCTTCAGTGACATTTTAATATGATGGTACTATGATGCATATAAAGTGGTACCTTAATATAGTACCATATTACGATACCACTTCCTGACGTTCGATTGGGCTCATATTTGACTATACTTGCGTATTTTTGATGACATTGCAATATTATGGTACCATGAAGCATATCAAGGGGTACCATAATGTAGTATATTACGATACCATTTCCTGGCGTTCGATTGGGCCCAAATTTGATATACTTGCGTTTCTTTATAAAGATTTGATTAATTAATCATTTTAATTTATTTTACGAATTTTAATTTATTGTACGATGTCGTGACAGCAACTTTTATGCCGAACTAATATATTATTAATTGTACCTGTGTCACTTTTTAAAATCTACCTAGAGCTATATAAATAACATGGCAAACAGAAAACATTTGTTATTATAGTATTTTTTTAGTCAATAATTAACTTTTTTTGTACTGCATTTTAATAAATCATTTCCATTATTATTAAACGTATATTTCATTACTAACGTTTCAGCATTAATAAATATCACATCAATCGCCCTGTATATTATTAATTTTAAAGGTATATTAAAAATGTATTTTGAGAGCATGTTTTCTAATTTATTTTTTTATTTTTATTAATTTATTCTAATTTTAAAAGCCAAACGAATAATTAATATAAGTGTATCTGACAAGAAACGAAGAATAGAAAGAAATTATTATACACCAGAAAAAGAATGGGATGCCAATTAAAGTCTGTTTGAATGTGGCAACTGTGCATATTATGCCGAGCTTCAAGGCCGTCGACGTGCCGTCGATCTACATCGATCCAAAACCGAAAGTTGAACATTTCCAATTATATTCTGATCATATTCTGATTATGATATTGTCGCGCCATCTAGTATTTTATTTGTGCAATTTTAGCTCTTTCATTTCGAGTATTTTTCTGTTGCGTAGCTAGATATTCTGTGCTATTATCGTATTCTGTGCCATAATCCCTGTTAATAGATAGTTAATATTTTTTATATAGTTATAGATAGTCTTTTATTTTTAAATATATTTTTGGAACTGCTGGTTTTAGTAATTATTAAATTAAACGAACAAAAAAGTCAGAAAAAATAAACAATTCTTAACCATAACCCAACCCTAAAAAATACAAAAAATGCAGATCTCTTGTCAACTTTCTTTATTTTTTATTTATTCTTTAGTGACGTCACAAGTGGTATGCGCGAACTGAACGAAATTGGAGCCGCTATCGATCATACCTTGTATTCTTTGTACCATGAAAACTACCACCTGAATCCCTAATGGGTAATTTAAATCGCCGTTAGTCAGCCCGGCGCGCGGCGCCGAATATATCCATGGTTGGCAACAATTAATTTAAAAATCCATTACGTATCTAAAAGTTTAATTGGTATCGCTTATAAAAAGGGTTTCCTACATTGTCTATTTTTGATGACGTAACCTTTTAGCAATCAGGCATTCTTTTTACTATGGTAACCAATGACTAAAGAATATAAGGACATGTAACGCCCGTATTCAGTCTGCAGCAGAATTTGTGACATTAGACGCCATTTCTTTGATGGCGGCGAATGATGAGTCATCAGCTGGTCATCAGCGACAATTTTAACGATTTTTAATAGTTTGTGTATAGTAAACTTTGTATAAACTTTATTACAATGGCGATTAGTTGTTCAGCCTTCAAGTGTAAAAGCCGCAGCGATAAGAAGGGTATTTTTAGGTAAATAAACAGTCCGCTCCACCTTTTTAGCGTTTTCTTAGTTTTCTTATTGAATTCGATAATTATTTTTCTGATATTATATGTACTTGATGTGTGCTATACGTCGATACTAGTTTTGTACCTTTTGTTAACATTTTAATACGTTTTTTTCGTAATTAATTAGTATGATGCCACCGCCTACACCATAGCCGTAGTCAAAACATTTTTATCAAAAATATAAATATCCTTCAACCAGCTAAGTTGAGAAAAAAATATGGCCACGGCACTGTTTGGTGTCATGGTAACAATTTGCACTCGGGTGTTATTTGTCCTTGAATTCTTTAGTCATTGATGGTAACGCTCTACGAAAACTGTATATTGCTACTTACCGTAACAAACCTTTTGACGCTTTCTTTGCTCAGAACATAACCTCCTCCGCCGCTCATGTATCCTTGTTTGACATAAGGCTTGAATCTAAATCCGAAATATATGGGATCTGTTGGTTCGTAGTCACGTAACAGGTATCTCAGATTTTCCATCACAGCATACCTAAAATTGATCAGTTTTCAAGAATTTTCCTTCTAATTGATAAGAGCTGCACCTCTACGCTACTTATTATTTTATTAATCTATGTGCACGAATTTATGATATCGGATAATGAATATAGGTTCTATGTATATGAATATCTTGTTTAACTATTGTTAACTTACGTATCATCGTCAGCTTTGAAGAACCAGTCGGCATCGTTGTAGTGATGATCGTAAACATACTGAAACGCTGCTTTAGTTTTTCCCCATAGATTATTTCTATCTTCGATTACGGGCAAAGCTACAGCTGGCAGGGATGGATCTGTAAAATCATCAAATTTGCATAATCAGAAAATGACGTTTGTTTGAACCTAATAGACCATGCGGAATTTATATGTATAATAATAATGAGGAGTGAAGTGGCAGCTCTCTGAGTGATGAGGAGTTCTACCTGTCAAGCAGCAACTGCTGATCTACACCCCGATGTGGATAGATGCTAATAGTCCTAAAGGAGAGCAATTTGAAAAATCTGCGTTGAATATGTTCCAGACGTTGAATTTGAATTTCGTATATCGGTGACCATATTACTGATGCGCATTCTAATCGCGATCGTACCAGGGAATTGACACAGGCCAGTAAAGTAATATTGCAAATTATAAATGAAAAACTGAAAGTTTTTCTAGAAAGAGAAATTCCAGCAAAACAAGCAGGTTTCACCAAGGGCAGAGGTACTCGGGAACATCTTCTGAATATGCGCCAAATCATAGAGAAAGCAAGGGAATTCAACATCTCTCTTTATATTTGTTTCGTAGACTGTAAAAAAGCTTTCGATAAAGTCAGATGGCATCACCTGTGGGAAATCTTAAAGGAAGTGGGGGTACAGCAACACTTCATTTCACTTATACATCCAGTTGTATCAGCACACTACAGGATCAGTTAGAATACTGGATTCAGCTTCAAAGGAATTTTCCCTTGAATAAGGAGTCGGACAGGGGTGTATATTGTCTCCTCAACTATTTAACATATACGGTGAACATATCATGAGAAGGTCGTTAGAAAGATGGGAAGGAGGCATTTCAATTAATGGCCAAAAAATAAATAATCTACGCTTTGCAGATGATACAGCACTACTCGCTAGCAGTCAAGAAGAGCTAATCAATTTAGTTAGTAGAGTAGAAAACGAAAGCAATCGGAGCGGTCTGGAACTAAATACACAAAAAAACAAAATCATGATAGCTGATAGGCAACATAACAACCATCCAAATATAAGTCATATCGAGCGCTTTGAAGTCATTAAGTCATATGTATACCAGGGATCACTATTGACAAATACAGGCACATCGGAAGAAGAGGTGAAGCGTAGGTGCAACATGGCAAAGGTAGCTGTTGGGAGACTGACCAAGATCTGGAAAGACCGCCAGATTTCAAGAGCCATCAAAAACCGGCTAGTCAACTGTTTGGTACTCCCAGTATAGACGTATGGCTGCGAATCGTGGACTCTCAGGCAGGCGGAACGTAAGAAGATCGATGCTACCGAGATGTACTGTTATAGACGTATGCTCCGTATCCCATGGACCGAACGCCGTAAAACGTTTCCATTATAAATGAACTTAATATTACCAACACACAGACTTTCCTGTAAGATCCGACTAAAACAACTAAAATATTTTGGTCATATAATGGGGAAAAGTCCGGACAATATGGAAAAACTCATAATTCAAGGCAAGGTGGAGGGACGTAGACCACGTGGCCGCTCTCCGACTCGATGGATAGACCAGATCACGACTAGCTGTAGCAAGCCAATGCACAATGTTACCGAGATGACAAAAGACAGAAGCGCATGGAGAAAAATCACCCATGATGTTACGCTGACCACTACACTCCCTTATGGGGGTCAGGACTGAAGAGAGACCAGGGAATTATACACAGTAGTGAGACAAGACATATTTTGATTTAGAATTCTTAGTAGTTCGACAGGTAAATCTTAAGGTTTTGATTGCTGATTAACATATTTCCTTAATATGAAGGTATAATATGTGAACACCAAGATCGTTTACAACTTCGCAAGATTCAAAGGGGGCATTATCTATACAAGATGTCAAAAAATAGTGTATCTAACTTTGATGGGTAATTCTACAGATAAAAATAAAACAAAAAGTTCCAATAAATAGATGCTCTAAAATGCTTCCCTAAAAAGGTACTTTCTCTATGCTCTAAAAACCCTAAAAGGGTACTTTCTATTAGAGTCGAGGGTACTACTGGTTTTTTATCCTTAAAGAAACAGTAAATGATTAAGTGACATAAAAATCTTAATAATCTTACAACAAGTGATATAAAAATCTAGACCTTTTTTACGTAAAAAAGGTGCTATTTATTTAGTTCGAAACGGTGAACGGCTTTCAAGATATTTGCGTTTAAATATTACGATGCATAGATTTTAGTATTAGTGAAATGATAAAATGTAAAGAAATTTTAAATAAATTAATCTTCTGATTTCGCTAATACTAAAATCGATGTATTGGAACCTTTAAACGCAAATGTCTTGAAGACCGTTCACCGTTTCGAACTAAACGAAGAGCACCTTTTTTACATAAAATGTCCTAGTTTTAATTTTAATTTGTTGAAATTCCTGTATCTGTAAAGGTGGGTATTCACTTGCAACAAAACACTCCGAACGAACCAAACGCTGCGCTGCGCAATCTGCAACAAAACATTTTCCGGGCGCGCTCTGAACGACCTGCAACAAAACATTTTGCGCGGAGCGTTCCGCCTGTTTGCGGTGTTCGCTGCGTTCCCACCAGTAATCAGTGTTAGTGTGCTTGTCGACATGGATGCATATGATTTATCATAGCAGCTGGTACTTTTTTAATTATAGAGGCATTAGCGGGTAACAAAAAAGAGAAAAAAAAAGGAAAGAACGAAAAATGTGGGCAAGACGCCTCTTTTTGCGCCGTCAAAATATGGCCTTACTTAGTGACCTAGATTATATGCATATGAAAAATTTTACAAGGATGGCTGCAGAAGATTTTGAGAATCTAATATACTTAGTAGGTCCTAGTTGCGGTGCACCCTATATTATTAGCAATTGCCACCCAAGCATCATGCTTCTTTACTTTGTTATAATATGCCCCAGTTGTCGGGTCCCATAAAATAGGCTGCTTCTCAAACTCATCAATTAACTCTAAACACTTTTCTCTGTTACACTCCATAGCTAGGTACAGTTTAAACGCACCACAAACACAACGAACGTTCAAAACTGCCGTATCCACTAAACACCGGCCAACAGTGGCGGATACAGAGGGGGGGTCCATGGGGCTAAGGCCTCCCTAAAATCTATAAATAGGGCTAAATATTAGGCTTTTGAGTTAAAAATGGCGCTCTAAAAAGCATATTCTACATTACTTTTTATTTGGCCCCCCCCTAAAATAAATTCCGGGCCCCCACTAAAATAAATTTCTGTATCTGCTCCTGCCGGCCTACGAACAAATTCTTTTGAGCAAATCCCGTTTACCGAAAAGCTTCGGAAAATGTTTGGCGCGTTCGGTTCGGTTCAGCGCAAGTCAGTACCTACACAAATTTGTTACAGCGCGCGCGGCGCGTTTGGTTCGTTCGGAGTGTTTTGTTGCAAGTGAATATCCACCTTAAGGATAAAAGAGGTACCACCAGTACTACTCTCTACCCTAATGGAAAGGACTCTTACAGGGCTGTTACGAAATTTTACACTATCGCCACTGACTTTAAAATGTGTTTAAGAGTACCAAATTTCAAGAAAAACGATTTACCAATGTTCTTAAAAATAAATAAAATAAATTAGTTTTATTTAACCTTTCGAGGGCTGTAACTGCTTCAGGAAGAATTTTTGGGAATATGTTCATAGCAACTTTTTTTTATTTTTATCTATAGAATTAAGCTTGATTTTCATGCATCCGTTGTCCGACGATACGTTGATACGATATTAATTTTATTGGTAGAATTTAAAGACTTTGATTGGTTAGAAAATAACGCAGTTTTTATACGTTGGTGTCATTTTATATTTACGTTTCCATAACGATTTTGCTATTTTACTTATATTTTTATTAAGGTTAGATTAAATTTGTCAATAAAGTGCCAAAACGTCCGTTATCGTATGAACGGGTCCGTTGACGGGCTGAAGTAAAATATTTACGGATGAAAAGTGGCGCGAAAACACTACGGCCAATCAGAGCTCAGTCGGACAATCGTATCAACGTACAACGGATGCATGAAAATCAAGCTTTATCCGTCAAAATTAGATACACTATTTTTTTGATACCCTGTATTATCTGTGAGGGGTGATAGGGCTGATAACATATACCTACCTATGTTAACCCAACCGACAACCTCACCTGCACGAGGTGCACCCTGCTAGAAAACTAACCAGGCTCTGTCGACCGAATGACTGCCGGTATAAGCAGTTCCCTCTTGTAAGTCAACAGCTTCGGGTGGAAGAACTAACAAGAGTGAGGGCACTTCCTTGTCCTCGGGATGAGAAATCATCCCCAAAGGCGAAAGAACCAGCAGGTGGTCAACGGCAGAGAAATGCGGAGGGCAACGGGAAACCACCGCATTAAAGATCTTCATAGATATCCTTAGGATTATCATCCTAGTATTTCTTATTATGTTGAAAGCTCAAAAACAAATGGCCTCTAGTCCCGGGCAGACCTTAAGTGGTCAAGAGGTGCGAAGAATCCCCCGGTTCCAACTAGATAAGATAACAAAAATTGCGACTTGGAATGTGAAAACATTGTTTGCAGCTGGAAAATTTGACAATTTAATACAGGAAATGAACAGGATGGAGGTAAATATCCTCTTTTACTATTCCGGCAATGACAGTATTGATCAAAATCATCAGCGAGGGGTTGGTATTTTAATGGATGAGAATTTACAAAAGTCAGTGAATAACTTTATTCCTCTCTCAGAAAGGGTAATTCTAATTCAGTTACTGGGCAGGCCTATTAATATCAATATCATCCAGGTCTATGCTCCAACAGCAGAAAAGGCAGAGGACGAGATTGAAGACTTTTACAGACAACTTGATCAGGTGCTAAGACTCACAAAAAGTAATGAAATAAACTTGGTTTTGGGAGATTTTAATGCAAAAGTCGGTAAAGGCAGGTTGGGATCTGTGGTCGGAAATTATGGTTTAGGTGAAAGGAATGACAGAGGTGAGAAATTGATACAATACTGTGAAGAAAATAATCTTACAATCACAAATACATGGTACAAACTCCCATCTAGACGACTTTATACCTGTAAGTCTCCACAAGACAATGATTACCGTATTGTTCGTAATCAAATAGATTATATACTAATTAATAATAGATTTAAAAACCTGATCACAAAAGTAACTACAATGCCAGGTGCCGATATTGAATCGGACCATAATCCATTACGTGCCAACATCCTATTGCGTTTTGCCAAACCTAAACGAAAAAGCTTGAGAAAGAACTTGGATCCAAAACTTCTCAGAGACCAGCAGACAAGATCAATGTATGAAAACCATATAAATAGAGAATTGGAAAGTATTGTCAGTACAAATGACATTGAGAAACATTGGCTGGGCATTAAGCAAGCTTTTAAGAACACAAATGAAAACCTCCTCACGGCTAATCGAACAACAGCGAAAAACGAGTGGATGAGTGAAGATATTTTAAAAATGATGGAACAACGAAGACAATTTAAAATCCAGAATAATCACAACGAATATAAATCTATGTAAAGAAAAATTCGTAATAAAATAAGAACGGCAAAAGAGACATGGTTGAAGGAGAGATGTATAGAGGCCGAAAATCTCAGTCATCTTGGAGACAGTTTCCATCTTCACAAGAAAGTGAAAGAGATAGCTGGGTTACACTATAATAAATCAATAACCCTAATTAAAACTGACGAAAATAAAATTAGAACGGAAACAGAAGAACTATTGCAAACTTGGAGAAATTATACCATTAATCTTTTCAACGACGAAAGATCAGAAAACCCTGCAACTGAGATTCCCATGCCATCAGGACCAAGCATATTGGAAAGTGAAATTATTCATACGATTAGATTAATGAAAAACGACAAAACTCCAGGGCCTGATGATATGTATTCGGAAACGTTCCACTTAATTAATGAACAAAACTTAAAAACTATAGTACAGCTTTTCAATAACATCTATGACACCGGTTACATCCCTGAAGACTGGCTTCGTTCTACGTTTATCACGCTGCCCAAGTCAAGTAACGCAACTTCATGTAAAGAGTATCGTCTTATTAGTCTAATGAGCCACTTTCTTAAGCTCTTTTTACGGGTACTGCATACAAGACTCTACAAAATATGTGAGGAAGTAAGTGGAGAAAGTCAATTTGGATTTAAGAACGGCTTTGGTACTAGAGAAGCCATATTCAGTCTTCAAACTTTAGTACAGAATTGCCAAGATCAGAGAAAAGATGTCTTCATGTGCTTTATAGACTATGAAAAGACGTTCGATAATGTTAAACATAACCTCCTTGTATCATACCTCAGAAACTTGGGACTTGATGGAAAAGATATAAGGCTCATCAGTAATTTGTATTGGAATCAAAAAGCTGAAATTCGTATACATAGCGTGGGAGTAACAGAAGATTTTGAAATAAAAAAGGGGGTAAGGCAAGGGTGTATTCTGTCTTCAATGTTGTTCAATTTACATGTGGAAAGAGCATTCACTGAGTCAATCTCCGATAGTCCCATTGGTTTGAAAATAAATGGCATTCTAATTAATAATATCCGATATGCGGATGACACAGTGATATTGGCAGACAATGCAAATGATCTCCAAATCCTTCTAAATAAGGTTAACAATCAAGCCAAAGACTGGGAAATATTTGGGATGCATGGTTAACGAAACGTGGGATCCGGATCAGGAGATCAAATGCAGAATCGAACAAGCAAGATCGACTTTTCTGAGACTGCGAAGATTTCTCACAGATAGGAATTTGAACTTCGGCCTTAGATACAGAATGGTGAAGTGCTATGTCTGGTCCGTTTTGTTATATGGTGTGGAAACATGGACACTGAAGGTAGCAACAATAAACCGAATTGAAGCCTTCGAAATGTGGACCCTACGACGAATGCTAAGAGTGCCCTGGGTCGACCGTGTGAGGAATGAGGACATTCTCAGAAGAGCTGGTCTGGAACAACGTGAACTCTTCGAAATCATCGAGAAGAGGAAAATAGCCTATTTGGGACACATACTGCGTGGAGAACGCTATCACTTTCAGCGTCTGATTCTCGTCAGCGTCTGAATAGAGGGGGGCAAAAGGGGGATAGGACGAAGGAAGCTATCCTGGCTGAGAAATATTCGTCATTGGACAGGCATACAGGACTTCCAAGCACTCCAAGTTGCGGCAGTTAACAGAACCATCTGATGAGGAAGAAAAAGATGAACGCCTACGCAGGAATCTGCACGGCACCTTAAGAAGAAGATTATCTGTGACCTGTTACATATTAAAAGTTAATAAATTTGGACACCCAATTACATTTTAGCATGTGTTTGGGACTTGATATTTTCAACAGATTAAATTGATTAGTTAAAAATTTCTATAAAATGAACATCGTTGTTTTTTTTTTTCTTACCGTTCATTTTATATACTCATTTAAGTGAGAATAACCAACTTTGTGTCTCTCTCCATAAAATAAGCTTTGCTTGCTGCTTTGATCTACCATTAAGCCCCATACTCACTAAGCGTCAATGCGATTTATTTTTGATGCTTTTCATCGGTGCATTTCGTTAAAAGCGCGCATTGATGATACCGTACTCATATTGCTTTGAGGCATTTCGATAATTCGATTGAAAATTCGTCCACCGCGCAAGATTTATGCAAAATATACAGGGTGGTCCGAATTGTATTCCGGCGGCATATTCTGTAGACAAAAATAAGCAAAAAGGTTCGTATAAATGTATGTCCTAAAATATTTTGTTCGTTTTACTTAGTTTCGTAGATACCGGGTGTAGAAGTTTCATTTTTATTTAGATTTTTTCCAAATAAGTTTTGAAGTAACGTCAATATTTTGATGAAAATTGGTGTCTGGGAGTTTTTTAGCATGAGAAATTTGATTTTGAATATGACTCCTAATAGTAGGAGGCGCCACCTACATGTGTTTTAACTGTTTTGAAGAGTAATAACTTTTCGTCCGTACGTGTATAAAACTGCCGAGTGAAAAAATATACATTTCCGTGACTTTTTACGCCAAAAATATCTCTTGGTAAAAATCGCTACGAGCAACCGTTCTCAAGATATTTCGAATGGAAATAGTCAATTCATGTCATTATTGACAAAAAACTAAGCACGTTGAGTAGATAGTTATTTAACTGAAATAATAAATATGGAAAATGTTATTTTTTTAAATTAATCATCAATTTTTCTGCGGAAAAATGATGAAAAAACAATGTCTGTTAAACTTTTTTGTGTTTAAATTGTGAGTTTCTGGAATGTGTGGTGTTAGAAATTATACCTGTATCCTGTGTGCTAACTTTGATGCAAACTGTTGCTGCTAGACATAAACTGCTAGACTCCATAAAGGGTAGTATAATCTGGTATAATACCATACGATCGAAAAAAACGGCGTCAGAGGTGGCTTGGAAATGAAGATTGCTGTTATTTTGTATGTAAAATTATATGGGGAATGTCATCGATCGTAATTTTCAAGCCAATTGAACGCCGTTTTTTTTCGATGGTACAGTATAAATTGAAAGCTTTTAACTCATACAAATAAACTTCTAAATTTTGACGCAAAATTCATTGACATAATATGTAGGTATATATTTTAGAGCTGTGAATAAACATATCCAATGAATAACATCAAAATGTGGCTAAATAAAACTAAATCGCGAACGTTTTTACTATAAACTAAGGATGAAGTAAGTATTGTCAAATAACAGTCCTCATATAATGTCCTAAAAATATTCTATAATGCTCCCAACATCATCCTTGTATTATCCTATAAATATCCCAAATAATCGTAAAAGGCTTGCCTAGGAATGTCTTGAAGATGACTTTTTTTGTCCCATCTGGATATCCCATAAATATCCTCCTCTGGTTTTTGGATATCCCTAAGATATTTACTATATCCTTGGTGGATATCCTCAAGATATCTATAGGATTGTGTTGTGTTATATGGGTCCGCACTCTATTGGACAGGACAAACTTCAATCAACCAAGAAGAGCACTGGTCTCACAGGAACTCCACCGACTAAATATAGATGTTGCCGCTCTTAGCGAAACCCGCTTTGCGGATGAAGGTAGTCTCACTGAGGAGCATTACACCTTCTTTTGGAAGGGTCAATTCATGGCGTAGGCATTGCAATCAAAAACGAAATCGCCACCAAATTAACAGAAGTACCTATTGGTGTCTCCGAACATCTTATGACCTTAAGGGACCCCATATCAGACAAAACTTACGTCAACATCTTAAGTGCCTACGCTCCTACCCTAGACACTAAAATTGAGGAATGATTCCAAATATCTCGAGAACCATTACTCGTAGCGATTTTTACCAAGAGATCTTTTTTACGTAGAAATCGTCATAAATGTATATTTTTTTACTCAGCAGTTTTATACAGGTACGGACGAAAAGTTATTATTCTTCAAAACAGTTAAAACACATGTAGGTACCCCCCCCCCCCTTTCAAATAGAAGTCATATTGACATCAAAATCAAATTTCTCATACCAAAGAACTCCCAGGCACGAATTTTTATTCAAATATTGACGTTACTTCAGAAATTATTTGGAAAAAATCGAAATAAAAATGAAATTTCTACACCCTGTATCTACGAAACTAAGTATTTTAAGATATACATTTATAGGAACTTTTTTGCTTATTTTTATGTGCAAAATATGCTGCCAAAGTTTCCGGAATACAGTTCGCAGGTTTGAAAATCAATATAAACTTTCATTAATATTTTAGGTTCTATCACAGATAACACATAATGTGTTATCTGTGGTTATGTGTTATCTGTGGTTGTATTTACCATCTTCTGTACTCATAAAAATTAAAGTATTGCATCTCTGGCCCCACGTTGCTTTCACATGCTTCGCTTTTTTCTCGTGGTTCTGTGGACCCGTTAGTATCCAACACAACACTTTTACCTCGTTGTATAGCTGGCTGGAAAGACTTATGTTTGTCATCCGATGATGATGGTCATCGCTTGAGTGGTTACCTATCCTTGAAGTTATTTTTCTTTCAGAAGCGTAAGATCTGAAATATAAAAAAAAGAAATGATAATAATAATTATTAAAAAAGTTGACATTTGTTTCTCCAAAAAATCCTCTATGGGTCACTGCAAGAAAATCTACAAAATAAAATAATTATTTTTTGTAAACATTTCTGCGTTAATCCCAAACGGAAACTACTTGTCAGAAGTTAGGTTTACAGTTATACAAATTTGCCTAACGAACAAAAAAATGCTTAACGTTTCGGAAAGTTTATCTCTTTCCGTCGTCGGAAGCAAAAAAATACAAAGAATAATGAAAAAAACTATTTAAAATATTTAAATTCAACTATTCGAGAACACTTTATGTTAAACAGTCATGACATTATATCATAGACAAAAAAAAGGTAAATCAGCAAAAAAAAATTAACAAACATTTCGAATGGTCATGATGTTGTCATCTTTGTTGTCATGATGACGAAAACGAAAGGCGATTGTTCTAATTTCTATTTAGAAATTACGTTTTATATGGCTGCTTCTTTCTCTCTTGTTAAATTAGAATGAGATAGTGGGCCCAATAGGCGCAATGCGCAGATCAACATAAATAGAACGAAATTTTGCGTTCTGAGTTGCGCTACGGGAGCGTTGTCCCTCTCTTTGTCATTTAATTTGCCAGTCTCTTTTTATTTGTTTGTCTATGCATTATATCAAGTTAAACTTCAAAATTAACACAATTATTACCTGACAACAATTACTTAATAAGGTAAAACAAACAGCGCAAACTTTCTGTATGATTATTTTTAAATTTTACGTATATTATGTTTATTTATGTTATGTTATTAAAATCAAAGAAGCGATTGCCATACATTACTAACATCTATAGATGCATGAGCAATACATTTATTTTTATTAGATTGAATTAAAAAAGCCTCTTATTTTTCTTTTAGGCTATCGCTCCTTTCATTATAATTTTGGCGCTATTAAAATGTATTCTATGCCCTGTGTCCCATGAAAAGTTATGAATTTTTATTTATTTTTTTTATTTAAAGAACATAAAGATTATTTAAGAAAGGGAGATTTTCACAAATCTAAGATTTGTCAGCATTCATGGGACACAGGGCACAGAATACATTTTAATAGCGCCAAAATTATAATGAAAGGAGCGATAGCCTAAAAGAAAAAATAAAAGAGGCTTTTTTAATTCAATCTAATAAAAATAAATGTATTGCTCATGCATCTGTAGATGTTAGTAATGTATGGCAATCGCTTCTTTGATTTTTAAGAACATAACATAAATAAACATAACATACGTAAAATTTAAAAATAATCATACAGAAAGTTTGGGTAGGTTGCCCTAATTCTTATAGATCTAGATATATTTTATTATTGTAATGTTTTGTATTGTTTTTGTTATTATATTCAGTTCAATAAAGATGGTTTCTTATAGTTTTTTTTTGTGTTTTTAATATATCCCCTTTGTCATTTTAACTTAAATCCATTTATTCGAGTAAATTGGTTCTTTCTTGAATCAATTTACTTGAATACGAGTAAATGCAAAAAATCGAAAAAAATAGAAACTACCCGTTTTAAATTTATGTTTTATTTCGTTACTAGACCCACGAGATGGCGCCACCGCTCGGTCCGAACGAAATGTATTGAGTTTCCTATCTATTTTATATTATATTGTCAAGAGCAAGAATTTTAGATTTATCAATGAAATAAATCACCCAATATATTAAATAGAATATATTTTTATAAACATAATATAATAAAAATTAAACTAGAACAAGTTGACGTCAGACTAAGATCGGAAGGTGAACTTTGTTTGATTCTTATTGTTGTAAATATCAATATGGAGAATAATTAAAGAGTAAATGAGAAGAGAGTTTTGGGGGCTCTCGGGGAGAACGAATGAAGAAGTCATGCTGTTCAGTTGAGTTGAGTTCTCCAAGTATCATAATGACAGTAAAGTAAGTTTATATTTTTTATATATTTTCTCTAAGTATATTTTATTGGTCAAAAGGTATTCTACTTGACATTTCTCCTACCTAAATTAATGTATTTAATTCTTTAATAAATCTATATTTTGTTTTTATATATATTGATTGTTTTAATGATCTTCGATACCTAAAACGTCCCTAGCCGCAACCCTCTAAAACGGGGTCGCGACATGTGGTGGAGGCGCCGGTCTCTCTTTTAATTAAAACAGTCTTCTTTTTGTATGCAAATTTTAATTAATTTCTCTAGTTTTTTTTTCAACACCACGATATGTGGTGGAGGCGCCCTTGGTACTTTTAAATATTTTTTTTACACCACCACTCATGTGGAGGTGGCGCAGTGGTTTTTTTAACAATTTCGCATACCAACGAGACGCGTTTATTTTTTTATGAAAATGTTAAATTAATAAAGCCTTTAATTTTTTTAGCAACAATCAATGTATTTTTTAAAGTTTTATATTATCTTTTGGCCAGTAAATTGAACGTTTACTTTGATATTTATACACTTACATATCATATAGGTATTTTAACTGAAGCAATATGTCGTATTACAATTATTTCTATTTTAACCTCTAATAACGATTCGATATTTTTAATCGTCGAACGAAATATTCCTTTTAATATTCATTCATACATAACTTTTCTCTGTGTATTTTTTATCAATACGATGCGTATATTTTTTACGTAATTGCTAAAATAACTATTTTTTTTTTGCTGAGTCGTAATAAATTTCCAACACAAAACCTAAAATATTTTAAATATTTTGCCAAGTATTTACTGCTTTTATAAACAATTATTATGGACAATTATTATATTAAAATCAAAAACTTATCTTTCTATTTTTAACAATAAAATGAAAAATCTATTAATTCAAACATTTTTATTTATTTTAGTTTATTGGAATAATTACTAAAATTTAAATATTTTTTTTGAAATATCAAACGCACAAATACATAATTGTCTTCTATTTTCAAATATAAGTTTTAGTTACTACTTTATTTACTGCAATTGAGTTATAAAAATATCTAAACAGTGCTTATATAGACAAAATTCCTATTTGTTTGGATTTGAAAAATAATTTGTATTCTATTTCATGTTATATGTAGTGGGCGATAATTATTTATACTCTACTTAAAAATTCTATATTGAATTTTAATATAAATTAAACATTAGCAAACCTATATTCATGTTTTTTAATAAAACACCTGTTCTGCCTGAGTTTATACAGCCACCTAATTTTGACCCTAGATTCGACTGTCCGGTGTCTTTCATTCAAAAATATGACAGAATAACCGATAAGAATGGTTGGAGCCACGCTTTTAAAATAAAATATTTAAATTGTTACCTGGAAGATGCTGCATTAGTTTGGTTTAAGAAATATGTTAACAACAAGGATAATTTTAATATAAATTGGCCGGATTTAAAAACCGATTTTATTAAGCAGTTTGGTGGTGAAAATCCATTCCGTAAACTAAAATCTAAATTTCGTACCCGTATACAAGGTGAAAATGAAGATATAAAATATTACTATTATGATTTATTGTCGATTGCATACGAAATTGATAGTGAAGTAAATTTTGATTTTTTTAGAGGACAATTTTACAAACGGTCTACATGAATCATATAATAAATATTATTATCTTTTAGTTACAGAAAATATGAATTTTGAAAGTTTAAAAAGCATAGTTCACAAATTAAATAATTTAAAAGAGATATTTTTAGAGTCTCAAATGTCAGCATATTCCCGGAATAATTATTATTGTGACAATTACATTCAAAATAAAAGACAACCAGGGCGAATCAATTTAGATTTCAGGAATAGGTGGTCAGTCAACAACTCTTATAATGGTAATTTTAGTAATAAATTTGATTACTTAGAAGGCAGAACAAGTTTTAGAAATAATAATAATAGTTATAGCTCACATAATAAAAATCATTCAGTTCATTCAAAGTACACTAAATCAATGAAATCATCAAACAATAATAAAAAGTACTATAATAGCAAGGTCAAGCATAATCAAATAATAAAATATGGTCAACACTGTTGAATAACGAAATTTCATATACTAACATACCAAATCTCGTTGTTTTATCTGAAAAAATAAAAAAGTTATAGGGGTGAGCCACTTTTGAGACGCACCCGGTATTCTTGAAATTTGGTACTCTCACACACATTTTAATGCCAAGGCGAATAGCTATAGTGTAAAATTCCGTACTCTTTTATCCTTATACAGGGTGTTTCAAAAAACATCTTTCGTGGGGAGATTCGTAAAAATAAGATTTATTTTTCATATCAACATCTGCTTTGTTTCGTAGCTACAGGGTGCCATTTTATGCCAATTTTTAGTAAATGACGTCTAGAGATGGACATCTCAAAAATTATCATCAACTGCCATTCCCTAGCCGGCTTTGACACCGTTTTTTTTTTCGATCTTACCGTATATTTTTTTTTATTATGACCAATGCTGAAGTGCTGGTATTTGAAAAAAATACAAAACGGCAATGTCCATAGATTACTAACATCAACAAATGCCTGAGTAGGTAATAGGTATGTACAGGATGGGCCAAATTGGACGCTTTTAAAGGGGAACACCCTTTTCCATAGGATATAGACGAAAACTAATATCTGTGTCCGGAGCTCAATTTTTATCAAAGACATGATGGTGAAAACTGCACATCAATATCTGTTACCGTTTCGGAGTTACGGGGTATTTTTCAAAAATATGCATTTTTAACAAATCGTTGTAACAGAAAATTTGATTTTTTATATGTCCTGCATATTTTTGTATAATTTTTAATTAATTGAAAATAATTTAAAATTACCTTTCCAAAATATAGCATACATCATGGTTGTCCATTAAAATTGATGATAAATTGAAGGTGTCTTGCTTTATTTCATTGATTGACTTAAATAAGGATTCTTGTGTGGTATCTGATATCCTGGAATGAAGGCTGTGTATGTCATCAATTTTTTTAAGTAAAATTTTCCACTTGGATTCGTGGTCACTTAGCATGTCACATATTTCAGTTATGACCGGAAAAATGCCATT